AAGGGAGTCCCAGATCCAGAGATTCTGCTGGGAATTGCATCCAAGGGAACTCCCACCCCCCTTGTTCGTTCCACCTGATGGAGTCGGGATCAAGCTCCTGCTCCAGGCTCTTCCCACCCAAATTCCAGCACATTTGGGGACCAAATAACCTCTCCTTCCTGTCCTATTCCTGCCAGGAATTCCCCAAGGGGCCCACACGTCCTAAGAATTCCCAAAACAACATTTCCCTTCGAAAACCTTTTATTCCATTTCTTTTTTTTCCCAGGAAAAGCCAGTCCCAGATGGTTTTTTTCCAGGGAAAACCAGTCCCTTGCCCCCTCCTTTCCCTCTTTTTTCCCTCCCACACCCTCACGTTCCTTCCCATTCCCATTTCCATCATTTTCTCCCCCCTTTCCCCAAGCCCTGCTCAAAGTCCCTTTAGTGGGACCGGGATCGGCACCGGGCGGATCCTGACCCCTTCCCCCTGGGACACAAACGGGAAGAACATTCCCTGGGAATTGCCCGTGGTGCTCAGACCCAGCCTCTCCAGGAGCTCCGCGGTCTCCACGTCGTAGAATTCCAGGCACTCCCAGTCCAGGTCCAGGAAGACGCCGAGGACGGAGCCGCTCCAGCGGAGCTTCCCGAGCCCGCGGGCTCCGGCGCTGGGGAAAAGCTCTCCCTGGGATCGGCGCAGAGCCCAGGAATCCTGGCTGGGAACGGGCCGGGCCTCGCCTCCCGCCTTTTCCCGCAGCACTCCCAGCGCCCAGTCCTGCTCCCGGCCCAGCTCCAGCTCCCAGTAGTGCTTCCCGCTTCCAAAGCCTTCCCGCCCCACGCGCACCGGGAATGGGGGAGCGGCCGCGTCGCCCTCCCCGCTCGGGAGCTCCAGGATCCGCTCCAGGGCGTCCCAGGCCACGGGAACTGCGGGACAGCAGGAGCAGAGGGAGCCATGGAATCCGGGAATCCCTGAATTCCCAAGTCCCTGAATCCCAGAATTCCCAAATCTCCAAACCCCAGAATTCCCAATTCCCTGGATCCCCGAGTGGCTGAGGTTGGAAAGGCCCCCAAAGCCCCCCCGGATCTCTCCCATCCTGGGATTTCCCAGGACACAAATCCCTTTCCCTCTTCCCATCCATCCTCTCGGGAATTGCATCCCGATCCCATCCCGGCCTTGGACACCTTCCGGGACTCCCTTTTCCCACCATTCCCACCATCCCCATCCCTTCTCCAGTCCTGCCATCCAAGGCACATTCCCATTGTTCCAGCTCACCTGAGTGGCTCCTGGCTTCCCAGAAATCTATGGAAAAACAACAGACATCGCTGCATTCCAGGGTTTTTGGTGGAATTTGATCCTCCCCGGACTGGGAAAACCCTTTGGATCTCCCAAAAATCCCAATTAACCCCCAAATCCCAGGAATTTCCACAATCCCATGTTTTTTACTCACCCAACTCTGCCTTCAGTCGACCTGCAAGGAAAAAATATTCCAGGCATTTTTGTTTGGATTTCCTATTTTTCCCCAGTTTTCCCCATTTTTTCCATTCTTTCCCCAATTTTTCCCAGTTTTCCCAATGGGAACAAATCCTGGGAGTGGAAAACAAGGATATTCCTCCCCACAAATTGATATTTCACTGCATTCATTAACTATAAATCCAGGGAAAACATGGATATTAACAGGAATTCTCATCCTGTTGTGTCTGAAGATGACCCAGAGGCACTGTCATGCAAATTTATGCAAATTTATGCAAATCCATTCCCTTACCCAAGCGTTTCTTGAAGTGGATCTTGGCTGGAAAAAAAAAAAGGGCAGAAATTGAGGGAGGGGAAAATTCCAGGGGGAAAAAAAGGAAAATATCCATGGGAAAAACATTGGAATTACGCCAGTTATTCCTTCTGGGAATTCTGTTAAATTCCAGGATTAAGGGAATTGCAGGTTTTTCCTAAAAAGGTGGAAAAGGGGAAGGAGGAGAAAAAGTTTTGATCCCTTAAAAGTCCCGGTGGAATTTGGTGGAAGATTTGGGCTGGGATCCCGGGATTTTGGGGGTCTTTTCCAGCCTAAGTGATCCCATGAAATCCCAAGGAAGAGGAAAAAGCTGTGACTGGATCATCCCTGGGGGTTAATTAATCACTTTTAATTAAGATGAACTTGATTAAACCGAGGGTGGTTTTCCCAGGGAATGTTTTGTGGGAATGGGATTTACCTGCTCGTTTCTTGGCTTTCTCTCCGTCTGGAGATTCCAGATGTGGAATTGAGGGAATAATTGGGAATTACGTTAATATTTAATGATAGATATCGTTAATATTTGTTAATATTTATTATTAATGTTGTTCTGTAGGTGCCTCTCCCAGAGTTAGAGGGAAGGGGAAAGGGGGGGGAAGGGAAGGGAAGGGAAGGGAAGGGAAGGGAAGGGAAGGGAAGGGAAAAGGGAAAAGGGAAAAGGGAAAAGGGAAAAGGGAAAAGGGAAAAGGGAAAAGGGAAAAGGGAAAAGGGAATCTCTTACCCAACAGCGACTTCACCTTCTTTTTTTCTGGAAAAGAAAGGACACGGAATTTTGGCTCTCAAAATTCCCAATTTGGGAACTTTTCTAATATTTGACATTGGACGTTTCTCATTTTCTGAGGGATTTTTTACCTTCTTCCCTTTCCAGCTTCACTTTCACTGAAAAACAAGGGAAATTCATCCAAAATAGCCATAATAAATACAAATAATATAATTAATATAAATAATTCACCTTAATTCCTCATCACTCACCTGCACTGGCATTTTTCCTGTGGCTCCCTGGTTAAAAAAAATGGGAAAAAAGCCCTTTTATTCCATGGTTTTTTGCACAGAAAAGAGCTCCGAGTCATCATCGGGGATTTAATCCCATCAGGAACACCCTCAGGTTGATTTCCCAAGGAATTCCAGGACACAGAGTCAGAATTCCCCACCTTTTTTGGGCTCCAATTCCAGAATTTGGTCACTCCATTAATTTTTTAACTTGATTTTTTTTTTTTTTTTTTTTTTTTACCCACATTCCTCTCAGGAATTATTTTTATTCCAGGGGATTTTTCCCCCGGGATTTTCCCAACACTTACTCCTCAGGAGGCAAAACAGAGTGGAAACCAGGAGGAGGCTGAGGCCCAAAAGCACCAGGAAACCACTCAGCCAGGAGGAGATGGAAGGGAGGAAAATATCTGGGAAAAGGAGCGACACTCCATTAATTATTTTATATTAATGATTTTCAAAGTCTATTAATAATTAGAGAGTTTTATTTTGGACTCGAGGATTGCATATTAATTATTAACTATTAAGTATAAATTAAATTATTCGATATCAGGGTTAAATTAAGGATTAAATATTCCACTGCCCATTTAAGGAGCAAATATTGTGCCGGGGGGATCCGGGGGTTTCTCCCCCACGGATCCCGGGAACGGAGCCGATCCCGGCGCGGTTCCGGGCCCACCCGCGATGCGGATCCGGGACTCCCTGCTGACGTTGAGCCGGGGGTTGACGATCCTGCAGGAGACCTCCAGGTCGGAGCCGGGCGGGAGGGTCACGGAAGCGTCGACGCGGAACAGCCCCGACGGCTCCGGCGTCGTCCTGGGGCTGGGAAATCCCTCCCGCGCCTGCCCTTGGCCGTCCAGCCAAAGAATTTGGGGATCCGGGAACCAGCCGGAGGCTCGGCAGGAGAGGCCCAGGCCCCTTCTCCGGGACCTCACGACAATGGTGGGAACGTCGCCGACGGCTGCGGAAAAACGGGAGCGTTTCCGTTCCAAACAGCGGGAAATTGGGGCTTGGGGGATTGGTTTTCCTTGGAAAGGGGTTTGAAGGGTTTGAAGGTGTTGGAAGGTTTTTCCCCTGGATTTAACGAGGGAGGGGAGGGAATTAAAGGGGAAGGAGTGGAAGGGATTCCAAGGGAATGAGGGATTCCAGGGACAATTTGGGAGAGGGAGGGGGAGGTTGGTTTAGGAGGAAGTCGGGAGTGGGATTTGCCAGGATTTGGGAAAATGTGGGAATTATAAGTACTATATTATATATTTATACATTATATAGTTATAAAGTGTGTATTGCACACTATGTATTTATATATTATATATTATATACCCATGACATCATATTTATAGAAAATAAATATACAACACAAAAATATCAAATACAAAAAATAAAATATATAAAAACCATAGAACATAAAAATATAAAATATAAAAATTTATTTCAAATACATAAAAATGCACCAGAATAAAATAACCATAAAAATTTTGCCCCGTTTTTTTTTTTTTTTTAAAAAAGGAATAAAAGGATCCCAGAATTCCCACCTGCCACTTCCAGCTCCACCGACACCTCCCGGGACACGTCCTGGACCGACACGTGGCAGGTGTAGGACCCTTGGTCGGAGATCCCGACGTTCCTCAAGCCCAGGGACACATTCCCGGCCCAGAATTCCCTGGGGAAAAACCCCACCCGGCCCCGGAACCTCCCGTCCCACTCCTCCTCTCGGCTCTTCCCGTCGAAACTGCCCACGGGGATCCTTCGGGAACCGTCGTGGAATTCCCAGCGGACGGAGAAAAGCTCGGGAAGGGGCTCCTGGCTCACCCGGCAGGGCAGGACAACCCGCTCCCCGAGGATCCCCACGACGGGAACGCCGGGAGAGCTCCCAGCCCGACCTGTTCCGGGACAAACGGGGGGGGTTCCCGGTCATCCAACGGAACCACGGCGGGGAGAGGAATCCGGGGAACTGGGAAAACGACACGGGACGCTCGCGGGGTCTGAGACTCCGGGATTTATCCGGCGCTGTTTCGAACCTTGGCTCGATTGGGTTGGAAAAATCACGGAAAAATGGGGGGAAAACCGATTCCCTGGGGAGCCTCTTCCAGCCCCCATCACCCTCTGGATAAAGAAGCTTTGCCAAGGTTTTTGAAGGAATTTCAGCAGAAATCGGGTGTTTTACGGAAATACATCCCAAATGTATCCCAAATGTATCCCAAATGTATCCCAAATGGAATTGTCCTCACCTGTGGCCAGGTGGGATCCGTGTTGGAATGTCAGGACTGGGAGCAACGTCAACCACCAGACCCGGGAATCCATCGATGTCCCGGAATCTCCCGGAATTCCTTCGGCCCCTGCACACCTCCCACGGAAAAGAACGAGAGAATCGAGGGATGAAATAACAGGGAAAAATATCCAGGAATTTATGGATGGAGGGATTGGGGTTCTCAAGGAAAAGAAGGTCCCGGGTGTTTCATTTTATTCCATTTATTCCACTTAAAAAATCAATTTACTCCAGTTAAAAAATATCAATTTACTCCCAATAAAAAATCAACTTATTCCATATCAATCAATTTCTAGAAGTGAATGCATGGATTTTTCCGACCAGGAATTTCTTACCGGAGCAGGAAGGACCAGAAGGTTCCTCTGGAGTCGGGTTGGGAAGAACTTTGTCCCCAGATTTTATATTTTTATGGCCCCTGAAAGTCCTGATTTGCATTTTCCAAAAGGGTTGGACCTTGAAAAAGGGAAGTGGGAATTCTACAATAGATTAGGGTTATATTTTATATATTACAATACATTGTATACTATGTATTGTATTGTATTAGAGTATATATTGCATTAGAGTACATATTAAACTATAAATTATGTATAATATCTAATACAATCATATATTAAATATATCCCATTGTATTATTTTATTAGCTATTATCATAAATATAATAATAAAATAATATATTAAATATATTAGGGTTATCTTTTATCTATACATTATATATTATGTTATGTATTGTGCTAGAGTATATATTATACTATAAATTATATATAATATCGAATATAATCAGATATTCACTATACATTATTTATCATTAGTATTTATTACAATAATAAATAATTGCATTTTGCAACACGCCCCAAAATCCCTCCCCCGGCACAATCCCAGAGGAATCATTCCCTCCGGAATGATTTCTGCCCAAAACTCCGGGATTTCTCCCGGAACCCCCGGGATTTTGCCCAAAACTCCGGGATTTCAGCCCAAAGTGCCTCCGGCGGCCGCCCCCTGCAGGAGCCCGGATAGCTCAGTCGGTAGAGCATCAGACTTTTAATCTGAGGGTCCAGGGTTCAAGTCCCTGTTCGGGCGGTTCCCCCTTTTCCCGCTCCCGGCGCATCCCGGGGGTCTCACCCCTGTTTTCCCCCCTCCTCTCCCGGGGGGAAAAACCGCGGGGTCTCTTTTTCGTGGCGGAGGGAGCGGCGCGGAGGGCTCTGGGGCGGGCGGAGGGGGCGGCGCGAGGCGGTCCCATGGTGTAATGGTGAGCACTCTGGACTCTGAATCCAGCGATCCGAGTTCGAATCTCGGTGGGACCTCGCCCTCCTTTTGAGTCCCCCCCTTCCCTGTACGGGCGGGGGGGTCGCGACTCGTTTGTGCCCCCCCCACCCCGTGTCCCATCGTAGGGGCGGGGGGAAAGAGGGGGGGGCCTGGCTCGTTGTGGCGTTTGGGAAGCGCAGGGGACACTCGCCTGGGGACTCCGTGCCCGAGTGTGTCACGCGCGTGGCTGTGGCGGCACCGCTGCTCCTCCCCCTTTTGGGATCGGGGTGTGACGCCTCAAAAGGGACCTCGTGTGACCCTACTCTGGGGTCTGTGTGTGACGTCCCGCGTGTGACGCCCCCCGGGGGACCTCGTGTGACCCCACAGATGCTTCGGGGACTGAGTGTGACATCCCACGTGTGACTGTCCGACCCCCTCGGCAGAGAGACCCGAGTGGCCAGGACGGACAGACTGAGGGACAGACAGACAGAGGGACATTGGGGGGACAGAAGTTGGACAGAGGGACAGGAGGGAGACGGAGGGACAGGAGGGGGACAGGAGCCAGACCGAGGGACAGGAGGGGGCAAAGAGGACCGAGGCCGGACAGAGGGACAAGAAGGGGACAGGAGGGGGACGGAGGGGGCAGAGGGACAGCTGTGGGGACAGACAGAGGGACAGAGGGACAGAGCCCCCGGGGCCGCAGGCAGCGGAGCCACACCCCGGGACCGGGAACGCGAAACCTGGAAGAGAGAGAAGTAAAAACAAACAAGCCCAGGCACAAAAGAGGAAGGAGGGAGCGCAAACCAAAGCAAATAAATCCCGAGGAGCAACGAACTCCCGGCCCCGCCGGGGCCAAAGGTGCGCCCGGCCCGGCCCCGCGGACCTTTGGCCACCGCCGGCCACCCCTCAGTGGCCATGGCGGTGCTGCTGGGGCTGCTCCCGGCCGCGCTGGCCGGGCTGGCCCTGCTCGCCGCGCTGCTCGCCCCGCCGTTCCTCTGGGACGACCTGGTGGCCTTTGTCACCATGGCCAGGTGGGCGCTGCGCTGCCGCCGCCGCTTCGCCCGCAGCCCCCCCGAGACCCTCCTGGACGTGTTCCTGCTCCACGCGCGGAGGCGGCCGCGGCAGCCGCTGCTCCTCTTCCAGGACGAGCTTTACACCTACGAGGACGTGGATCTCAGGAGCAACCGGGCGGCCCGGGCGCTGCAGCGGCGCCTGGGGCTCAGCCCCGGCGCCACGGTGGCCGTGTTCCTGCCCAACTCGCCCACCTACCTGTGGACGTGGCTGGCGCTGGCCAAGCTGGGCTGTGCCATGGCTTGTGTGAACACCAACGCGCGGGGACGGGCGCTGCGGCACGCGCTGGAGGCCGCCGGGGCCACCCAGGTGCTCGCCAGCCCCGGTGAGAGGGGATGGAGGGGACGTTCGGGGGGCTACAGGGACACGGGGGGATGTGGCCACCAAGGTTACCCTGGTCCTCGCCAGCCCTGATCTCAGCCAGCCTCGCCAGCCCCAGTGTCCACACGTGTGTCAGGGTCTGTACCTGTGTCCACACGTGTGTCAGGTCTGTATGTGTGTCCACACGTGTGTCAGAGTCTGTATGTGTGTCCACACGTGTGTCAGGTCTGTATGTGTGTCCACACGTGTGTCAGGTCTGTATGTGTGTCCACACGTGTGTCAGGGTCTGTACCTGTGTCCACACGTGTGTCAGGTCTGTATGTGTGTCCACACGTGTGTCAGGTCTGTGTGTGTGTCCACACATGTGTCAGAGTCTGTATGTGTGTCCACACGTGTGTCAGGTCTGTGTGTGTGTCCACACGTGTGTCAGGTCTGTACCTGTGTCCACACGTGTGTCAGGTCTGTACCTGTGTCCACACGTGTGTCAGGGTCTGTACCTGTGTCCACACGTGTGTCAGGTCTGTATGTGTGTCCACACGTGTGTCAGGTCTGTACCTGTGTCCACACGTGTGTCAGGTCTGTACCTGTGTCCACACGTGTGTCAGGGTCTGTACCTGTGTCCACACGTGTGTCAGGTCTGTGTGTGTGTCCACACGTGTGTCAGGGTCTGTACACGTGTCTGTGTGTCTGTGCACGGGTTTGTGCGTGTGCCCACTCTGGGATCCCTCAGGTGCCCATTTGGGGTCCCTCATGTCCCCCCCCCGTCCCTCCTGTCCCCCCAGACCCTGTCCCCCGTGCCCCCAGTGCCCCGCCGTGACCCGCCGTGTCCCCCCCGTGTCCCTCAGAGCTCCGGGTGGCCGTGGAGGAGGTTCTCCCGGACCTGCAGCGCTCCGGGATCCACGTGTTCTACCTGAGCCCCTCGTCGCCCACCCCGGGGGTCCCGGCCCTGCTCCCCGACATCGAGGCAGCCCCTGCAGACCCTCTGCCCGCCCAGCACCGCGCTGGCATCACCGCCACCTCCAAGGCCATGTACATCTACACCTCCGGCACCACCGGTGAGAGGGAGCCGGGAACCGCCGGGATCCACAGCTGGAGACACGGGGGAAGAGGGGGGTTAGGAACGTCAGAGGGGTCTCTTGTGGGGTCTTTCTCCAGCCACGAGCGTGGTGGGTCCACCTGGGGCAGGAACAGCCCTTTGGGATGTTTGAGGTCAGTTGAGGGTGTTTGGGGTCAGTTGATGATATTTGGGGTCAGTTTGGGTTATTTGGAGTCACCCATCCCTTTTTGGGTCCCCAGGGCTCCCCAAGGCCGCGGTGGTGACGGAGCTGAAGCTGATGATGGTCGCCAGCCTGGCCTGCATGTGTGGGCTGCGCCGCGACGACGTCGTGTACACGACGCTGCCCCTCTACCACTCGGCCGGGCTGCTCGTCGGCCTCGGCGGCTGCCTCAACATCGGTGCGGGAGAGCCCGGCCCACGGGACGAGGGAGGGAGGGAGGGAGGGCTGGAGGGATGGGTGGATCAATGGATGGACAGACGGGTGGATGGACAGACGGAGGGAGGATGGATGGACGGCTGGGTGAGTGGATGAAGGGAAAAGCGAGGAGGGAAGGGGTCACCCCCCCCGGTTGTGTCCCCCCAGGAGCCACGTGTGTCCTGAGGAGCAAGTTCTCGGCCTCCCAGTTCTGGGCCGACTGTCGGCGGTACAACGTCACCGTCATCCAATACGTGGGGGAGCTCATGCGCTACCTGTGCAACACGCCCCCGGTGAGCCCCAACTGCCCCAAAACTCCATCAAAACTGCCCCAAAACTACCCAAAAACTGCCCCTAAACTACTCCCAACACCGCCCCAAAAACTGCCCAAAAACTGCTCCAAACTGCCACAAAAACTACCATAAAACTGCCCAAAAACTGCTCCAAAAATGCCCCAAAAACTATCAAAAAACTGCCCCAAAAAGCCCCAAAACTGCTGCCAAAAATTTCCCCAGAGCTGCCCCAAATGCACCCCAAACCCACCCAAGCCCCCCCCGTCCCCCCAGCGCCCTGACGACCGGGAGCACGGGGTGCGCATGGCCCTGGGCAACGGGATGAGGGCGGAGGTGTGGAAGGAATTCCTGCGGCGCTTCGGGCCCGTGTCCATCCGGGAATTCTACGGGGCCACCGAGGGCAACGCCGGCTTGATCAACTACACCGGCAAGGTCGGGGCCGTGGGCAGGGCCAACGTGTTCCTCAAGGTGAGAACGGGGGGGTTTGGGGCCAACGGGGGGGGTTGGGGTCAGCTGGGGGGGTTTGGGGTAAACTGGAGATGTTTGGGCCTTATTTAAATAGGTTTAAATAAGATTTAGGTTTAAGATTTAGACTGAAAGATTTAAATCAAAACTTAGACCTAAAGATTTAGAATTACAGGTTTAAAGATTTGGACTTCTAGACTCAAAGACTCAGACTGACTCAGGGATTTAGACTGACTCAAAGATTCAGACTTAGACATTTCCGATCCAGGCTGGTCGAACCCAAGCAGTTTTAACCCCCAGACTGTTGGGATTGCAGGGGGAGGGGAAAGGCCCGATCCCAGCAGGCCCGACCTGGCCCCCCCAGGTTTTAATCCCGGGTTTCTCTCCCTGTGCCCCCCCAGTTCTTCACACCCTTCGAGCTGATCAAGTACGACGTGGCCACGGACAAGCCCGTGCGGGACGAGCGCGGGCTCTGCATCCCCCTCGGGCCCGGTAAGAGCCGGGCCTCGCAGGGAGGCCACCAAAAACACCCCCTGGTCCTCCTCGTGGCCACCAAAACGCCCCTCAGGTGGCCTAAAGCCCCCCTCCCGACCCCGTCCCAGGCGAGACGGGGCTGCTGGTGGTGAAGATCACGCGGCACGCGCCGTTCCACGGCTACGCCGGCGACGCCCGCAAGACGGAGCAGAAGGTCCTGCGGGACGTCCTGGCCAAGGGCGACGCCTTCTTCAACAGCGGCGACCTGCTGCTCATGGACCGCCAGGGCTTCCTCTACTTCCAGGACCGCGTCGGGGACACCTTCCGGTAATTCCGGCCCGCGCGTCCCGGCCGTGGGCGCCGGCCCGAGCGCTCGGCTCACAGCGCTGCCCCCTCCTCCTCCTCCTCCTCCTCCTCCCGCCCAGGTGGAAAGGGGAGAACGTGGCCACGACGGAGGTGGAGGCCACGCTGGCCGCGGTGGGGTTCATCCAGGAGGTCAACGTCTACGGCGTGGCCGTGCCCGGTGAGTCCGGCCCGCGGCCACCCGGGCGGTCGGGGAGGACACCAGGGAGGGTGAAACGGGGCTTGGTGGCCCCGGGAGGACTCAAAGCAGCCGCAGTGGCCCCCGGTGACCCCCGGTGCTGCCCGCAGGGTGTGAGGGCCGCTGTGGCATGGCCGCCGTGCGCCTCAAGGACGGGGCCACCTTCGACGGGGACACCCTGTACGCCTTCACGCGGGACACGCTGCCCTCCTACGCCGCCCCTCGCTTCGTCAGGGTCCAGGTCAGCGGGACACGCCCGGCCCAGGCGTGGGGGGCTCCAGGGGGGCTCCAGGGGGGCTCCTGGGCTTGGAACTGGGGGGGTTTGGCCTTGGGAGGAGGGTGATCCATCAGCACCAGCGCCCGGTTCCAATCACGGCACGGTGGAACCAGGGAATGGTTGGGTTGGGGTTGGGAGGGGCCTTCAGGCTCATCCGGTTCCAAGGGGGGGTCACCCTGTGCCAAGGGAGGGAACAACCCCCACCGGCACCCGGACACGGCCCCGGGACCCCCCCTTCCCGACATCCCTCGTTCCCAGGACGCCCTGGAGATCACGGGCACCTTCAAGCAGTCCAAGAACAACCTGGTCCGGGAGGGCTTCGACCCCCAGCTGGTCCGGGATCCGCTGTTCTTCCGCGACGATTCCCGGCGATCCTACGTCCCGCTGACCCCGGACACCTTCGCCGCCATCCAGGACATGAGGCTCAGTCTGTAGTGGCCTCGGGCTAATTAACGAGGCTAATTAGGGGCTAATCAGGCACTGTGGGCGGGGCTGGGGGGTTATCCCAGCCCGGCCTGTCTGTGACGTGGAAATTAAACCCTTAATTCCCACCTTTTTTGGGTGCCATCCCAGCCCCTCCCCGCCCTCACAGGGTGGGATTCCTTCCCCATATCCCATCTAAATCTCCCCATTCTCAGCGGGAAGCCCCTCCCTGTGTCCCGTCACTCCAAAGCCTTCCCTGTCCCAACTCCTGGTGGCACCTGGAATTCCACTCACCGCCCTCACCGGGAAGACTTTCCACCTGAAATTCCTCCTGGGAACTCCTAAAAGCTCCCAGAAATTCCCATAAATCCCCAGAAACCTCCCGAAACTCGCAGAAATCCCCACAAACTCCACATGGAAAAGGTGAAATCTTTATTTCCAGCCCCCCCCCCCCCCGGTGCCCAGGACTCACCTCCCCCCGTCCCCCACCGGCTCCACCTTCGCCTCAGCCAGGGGGTCCCTGGGGCTCCTCCGGGGCTCCGGGACCCCCCCCGTGTCCCTCTGGAGCTCTGGGACCCCCCGTGTGTCCCTCTGGAGCTCCGGAATCCCCTGTGTGTCCCTCTGGAGCTCCGGGATATCCCACGTGTCCCTCCGGAGCGCTGGGATCCCCCGCGTGTCCCTCTGGAGCTCGGCCAGGCGCTGCCGGAGCCGCTGCTCCCGCCGCTTCCCCGCCTGGAGCTGCCTCTGGGCCTTGCCGAGGGCGTCGAGCGCGGTCTCTGCGCGGCGCTTCCAGAGCAGGGCGGAGCCCACCTGGTAGCTGTGCTCGCTCTGGATGTAGGAGCCGGCGCGGGGCGGCAGCCGCGCCATGAACAGCGACGGCGACGGCGGGCCGGGGGGGCCGGGGGGGCCCGCGGGCGCCGGGGGGGCCCCCTCGGGCAGGGCCGGCGCCGCCGCGGCTTCGGCGTCGCCCGTGGCCACCAGGAGGGTCTCCGGCGGCGGCGCCGGGACCCCGCCCTGGGCGGCGGCCGGGGGGGCTTTGGAGTCCGGGGGGAAGCAGGAGAGGGAGGGGGGGAACGGGGGGGCCGGCGGGGGCGGGGGGGTGTCCTGCCTGTGGGGAGAGGAGAGAGGGGGGACACGTTATCCCGGGATACGGCCCCGGGAGCGCCCGGAGAGTCCTGGGGGCGGGAGAGGTCAGGGGGAGGCCAGTGGGGAAGGTGGGGGGTCCTGGGGGTGGGAGAGGTGGGTTGGGAAGGGGGAGGGTCCCAGCTGTGTTGGGAATAAACAGGGCAGTCCCGTCACCCCCCGACCCCCCCCTCAAAGCCCCCCCCACTCACTTCCACTTCCTGGGGGTCCGCAGGGGCTTTGGGGGGTCGCTGTCGGGCGGGGGGGGCTTCGGCTTAGGGGTCCTGGGGGGCCGGGGGGGGCCTGGGGCGAACACGGTGGGCACGGCCCCCTCCTTGAGCCGGTGGTAACCACTGGGGGGGGGAGAGAAATGGGGGGTCAGGAGGGTCCCCGAGGCCTGTAGCCCCCTACCTCGGAGCAGTGGCTCTCAAAGTGCCAGGAGCAGCCTCCAGATTTACCTGTAGGCCCCCCAGACTCACCTGCAGACCCCGCCAGACTCAACTGTAGCCCCCCCATCTCACCTGCAGCCCCCCCAGACTCACCTGCAGCCCCCCCAGACTCACCTGCAGCCCCCCCAGACTCACCTGTAGCCCCCCCATCTCACCTGTAGCCCCCCCCAGACTCACCTGTACCCCACTACCTCGAAGCAGTGGCTCTCGAAGTGCTGGGAGCAGAAGTAGATGTATTTGGAGGAGGGGTCCCAGCGCCCCCCCCCCGAGGGGTCCCGGCGCCGGCTGTTCTCCAGCCACTGCACGCGGCGAGGGTCGTCCCTGCGTGGCAACCTGGGGGGCACGGGGACGTGGGGGGGACATGGGGGGGGCCACAGGTCACGGGGGGACCTCAAATTGCCCCCCCAGCCCATTTTGTGCTGAAGGGCTGAACCTCCCCCCGTCGAGCCCAGCAATGGAACGGTCCAGGTGGGGCCATTAAAGCGGACGGGGTTGAACCATCCCCAGAATGGGGGGGATTGCAAAGGAGACCCCCTTGCTGAGGGGAAGGGGGTCTCTGGGGGCTCTCTCCCCCCCCGAGGGGGTCCCTGGGGTGTCACGCACCGGTGGAAGGAGATGCCCCTGCCACGGGTGTCGCGGGTGTCGCGGGTGCAGCAGCCGGAGGCGGAGCAGTGCCGGGGCATCTGAGAGGGGGAGAGGGAGGGGACAGGGCTGAGACGCCCCCCGCCACCCATCCCATCCCCCCTGAGCCCCCCACCCACCCAGGTACCCCCCAAACCCCCGGGGTTTAACCTAGAGACCTCCCAGAGACCCCCAACTTCCCCCCAGGGACCCCTCAGACACCCCCAAGGTGCCCCCCTCAGTGACCCCCCCCGTCCCTGTCCCCAGAGACCCTCTGGGATTCCCAACCCCCCCCCAGGAGTGTCTCTTTCCCCCTGGGAGGGTCCATGGGGGTTATACAGGCACCTTATAGAGGCCCCACCCTACAGCGCCCTATAGATCCCTATAGGTACCTATAGCCCTCTCTAGTGGACCCCACAGACCCCTACAGGCACCTTACAGCCCCACAATGGACTCTATAGATCTCTGTGGGCACCTTATGGACCCTACAGACCCCCAGAGGCACCTTATAGTGCCTTCCATGGAACCTACAGCCCCCTATAGACCCCAAAACCCCCCAAATCCCCCAAAATTCTCCTCCCCCCCCC